TTGGTCACAAAAAACAATTCCTCTAAAAAACATTAAAAAAGCTAAAATCTCTCTAAAAAACACAAAAAAAAAGCCAAAATCCCCCTAAAAAAACAAAAAAAAGCCAAAATCCCTCTAAAAAACCACAAAAACCCAAAATCTTTCCAAAAAACAAAACAAAACAAAAAAAAACAAAAATCCCTCCAAAAAAATACATCACAAAAAACCGAAATCCCTCTTAAAAAACCACCAAAAAATCCCTCTTAAAACACACAAAAAACCAAAATCCCTCTTAAAAAAAAAAACAACAAACCCACACCAAAAAACAATCCCTCAAGGTCACCCTACAGCCACAGCCCCTAAAAAGTATAAACAAAAGTGAATTATGGGGGAGCAAACTGGAGGTAAATTACTTCATTATCCGAATTAATAATTGGACAATTAACCCCTGATATGTAATTGGACCAAACTTTTAATTATCTGAAAAACTCGTGACCATCTCAGGTTGAGCTCCTCTCAGAGGATTTGGCTGCCCAAGGTGTATCTATTAAAGACTTTAATAAATATTATTAAATATTTTATTCTCCAACTTAATAAACATTATTAAATATTTTATTCTCGAATTCTATCCAGCCTCTGCTCTAGGGAGTCACTCCAGGGCATCACAGGAGTCACCAAAAACCAAATTGAGGAATTTCTGCCATTCCTGAGCAATTTCTGCCATTCCTGAGCTGGTGTTGGAGGAATTTGAGGAATTTCTGCCATTCCTGAGCCCTGACTGGAACCAAGCACCTCTGTGGGATCTAAATACTTTATTCTCTAACTTAATAAATATTAGTAAATATTTTATTCTTTAATTCTATCCAGCCTCTGCTCTAGAGAGTCACCAAAAACCAATTTGAGGAATTTCTGCCATTCCTGAGCTGGTGTTGGAGGAATTTGAGCAATTTCTGCCATTCCTGAGCAATTTCTGCCATTCCTGAGCTGGTGTTGGGAGGAATTTGAGCAATTTCTGCCATTCCTGAGCAATTTCTGCCATTCCTGAGCTGGTGTTGGAGGAATTTGAGCAATTTCTGCCATTCCTGAGCTGGTGTTGGAGGAATTTGAGCAATTTCTGCCATTCCTGAGCCCAAGCACCTCTGTGGGATCTGACAGAGGAAAGACTTCAACATTTATTTTCAAACCAAAGCAGCCCAATGCTCTGGTCCTGCCAGCCAGGACAGGGGTGTCACCAAAACCTCAATTCCAGGATCATCTCCCAGGCCCCTCCTCAGTCCCACAAACTCTGTGGATCTGCCCCTCCCCCAAAAAAAAATGAGGGTGAAGGAATCATGGATGTGCTGAGCTGGAAGAGATCTCTGATCCAACCCCTGCTCCTGCACAAACACCCCAAAATCCCACCCTGGGCATCCCTGGAGTGGTGTCCAAACGCCCCTGGAGCTCTTGGGGCTGTGCCCAGAACCCTCTGGAGCAAGAACCTTTCCCAAAATCCAACCTGAAACCCCCTGGCACAGCTCCAGCTGTTCCCTCAGAGCAATGGAATCCCCCCCAGCCCTCCCCACTGCATCCAGGTGTGAACCAGCACCTTCACCAAAATCCAAATTATTCTGGTTCTCACGTCTCAGAGCTCTCCCAAGCAAACCTGAGCCAACAATTGCAGATTCTGGAAGCTCAGATTTGTGCATTCACCGAACAATTGGTGCATTCTGAGCTCAGGCTGCACAAGGATGAACAAACATTTCACATCCTGCTGTTCCACAGGCAGAGGTGCCCCAAGAACCTGCTGTGGCCAATCCATCATCACTGCAGCCACTGAAACCAGCCTGGCCCCAAAGCCAGCCCTGCCACTCCTGCAGAAAGCAGGCAGGGAAAGGGACCTGGCTGCTTGTTTGCAATGGATTTATCACAGAATAATTCAGGATCCCACAGGCTCCAGGTTCTCTCTCTCACTCCGTTGACAAAAGGTGAGGAGCAGCTGATGGGCAGTGGCAGAATCGATTTTACAGCCCAGGTGTTTCACTTGAGTTAAAGGCAGTGCAAATCCAGCAGAAAACGAAATTACATTATTGGTTCCTTATGCTCTAAGTCAGTAATTTTAGGACAAACAGATAAGAAGAATTTAAAATCTTGGGTGTTCTTTCCCTCAAAGCAGAGTTTTCTGACTGGGATTTCTGCACATGTCCACTCCTTTGGGAGAGAAACTCACGACCAGGACAGGTCACTTTAGTTCAGGGTGGCCCAAAAACCTGACCAGCTCCCCCAGAAGATGCTCTGCCAGTCTGACATCAGAGGGGGAGGCTGTGCCAAGGGGCTCTGTCACACCCTGTGTCTCAGGGGGAGGCGTTTGTGTCCCCCCCCAAACCCCATCTGTCACCTGGCTGAGAATTCACAGCGAGGGAGAAGCTGCAAGAGCTGCAAGCTGCTTGTCTCTCACGTTTGCTTCCCCCCCAAAAAAAAAAAAAAATCAGCTTTTCCCAAAAATTCCCAGCTCTGCCCTCGCTGCTGCCTCTCCAAACTCAGCCCTTTGCCATCTGTGGCAAGGGGAGCCCTCCCAGTTTTAACCAGTCCGGGACAGAACTCAAACCCAGCAAACACAACGCAGAGATGTGGGAAATGTAACCCAGGACAGAAATCACACAAGTGACACTGAACCTCACAGTGCTGAATTCCTGGAATTCCCCACTTCACTGCCGTGACTTCCAGGGCCACATTTTAAATAAATCCAAGTATTTTCTACAGCAGTTTCCAAAGCAGAGATCACCAGCAGCTACAATTTGGGCGTTCTTTTGCAGAATCCCAAAATATTTAGGGGTGGAAGGAATTCATCCAGCCCAAGGCTCTGCCCAGGCAGGCTCAGGTGGAGCAGGTGACACATCCAGGTGGGTTTGGGATGTCACCAGAGAAGATTCCAGGCCCTCCCTGGAGCTGCTGCAGGGCTCTGCCACCTCCATGGAATAAGTTCTTCCTCATGGTGAGGTGGAACTTGTTGTGTTTCATTTTCTGGCCATCACTGGGAAGGGTCTGGCACCATCCTGGCACCCTCTGGAGATGTTTACAGGGATTGGTGGGACCCCCTTCAGCCTCTTCTTTCTGAACAGAAGTTGTGTCTTTGCACTTGGCTTGTCACAAACCCACACAAACCAGGGCGTTCCCCTCCTTGCAGCCACTTCACCACTGGTAAAGTCCCAGCCCAAAAGCCCAAACCTCCCCCTCAGCCCTCATCAACCCCTCCAAAATAACCCCAAACCAGTGAGGGCTGGGATGGAACACACTTGCAGATAAGAAACTCAACAAGTCTGCAAACACCAAACTGACAAAATCACAATGCAAGTGAGTCAACACTGCCTGGCAAAGCCAGGCTGAAATAATTCCTATATATAGGAATATATAAATAATGGCCAAATAATTCTGTCACTGCCTATGCATCAACCTTATCAATCCTGGCTGCAAATGAAACCCCAGAGCTGCAGCAGGAGAGCTCCATTTGGGGAAAAAAATAATCACCTTTTCCACCCAGGAGTCACAGACACTTTTTGAGTGGAAACATGCAGGAAGAGGCATTTTTTCCCTCCACCCTGCTTACTCACAGCCCAGTGGCCTTTCTGGGAGAGGAGCTGTCACAAGGAGCAGCTGGCTGAGGCCAGCACACAAAACTCACCCCGGAAGGTAATAAATGAAAGGGAAGCAGAGGAGTGCCTGTGATTCATCTCTGCCCAAGGCCATGCTGAGCTGTGCAACAGCCTGGCTCAAAGGTGTGCTCAGAAAACACCAGCAGAGCCAATCACCCCGGCACGATATTTCCTATCTGATTATCCAGCAAAGTTTGGGAATTACAGATGCCCACAGCAATCCCAGCCGGCCGGGCACACACTTGCATGGATAAACAGCAAGAAACAAAGTTCATGGTGTGAACGCTCCACACCCTGCCAGTTACCTGGAGAAACCAGATAAGGCTGAGTGGTGTAAAATATCTCTGAGCTGAGCTGAGCTGCCTCCCTGCAAAGGCACTCCGAACTGCAGCGCTCACCCAGCTCCAATTCGCTCTGAAAACCAAGCACGGTGAGGTTTTTCACCTCCAAAAACACCCCCAAGGCAGCTGGGGCGATGAATAATTTGCAAACGCGAAATTAGTCAATTTTTTTTTTTTTTTTTCACACGTTGAGAAGTCCACTGCTGAGCACCAGAAGATCGCTCTTAGTGAAATAAATTCTGTGTCATTTAGTGGCTTCCTGCCAACTGCTCCCTGCCCAGTTCTCACCACCAACCTCAAAACTGCGGGTTTAAAACTCTCAAGCAGAGCGGAATTTTATCAACAACACCACAGGGTTCTGTTCCTGTTAGAAACCAGCACTCAGGAAAATCCTTTTACACAGCGGACAGGGCAGGAGGTCCAAGGTGTCAATCACAGAATGGTTTGGGTCGGGAGGATCTTAAAACTCACCCAGTTTCACTTTGGACGTGGGCAGGGACACCTCCCACTATCCCGGGCTGCTCCAAGCCCCGTCCAGCCTGGTTTGGGACACTTCGAGCTTTCCCCATCCCTCACCCTAAATCAAGATTTCCAGCCCTTGGCAAGGATGTCACACCTCAATTTGCCCATGACACCCTCCTTATCCTTTTCCAACCACATCTCCTTCCAGCCACACCAATAGATTATTTATTTTCTTCTGTGTTAGAGCTTTTTTTCAGTGTAAAACATGCCGGAGAGGCAAAATGATAAAAAGTCAGCGCTGAACTTTGAGGGATTCCTGGACACACAAGCAGCGCCTCCATCCAGCCCATGGATCCAGGAGAGGACGGACCGGGACTGGAAATGGGACAGAAACCCAAAAAAGATGCTCAGGAATACCGGGAACAAAACCCGGGGAGTGCGGGGGAGGGAAGGGAAAGGAAAAGAAGGGAGGAGAGAGAAGGAAAAGGAGCGAAAGGAATGGGAGAGAAGGCATGGAAGGGGAGAAGGGGAAAGGATGGGAAGGGGCGCACAGATCCGGGGCAATCCCGGCTGGCACTCACTCACTCACCGACCCCGTACTTCTCGCGCTTGGTGGGGATCCAGCGGGCCATGCCGGGGGGTTCGGGGGGTCCCAGCAGGTCCGGGGGGTCCCGGTGGATCCGGGGATCCCGGCGGGCTCAGGGTCCGGGCAGGTTCGGATGTCCCGGCGGGTCCGGGGGGTCCTGGTGGATCCGGAGATTTCGGCAAGTTCAGAGGTCCCGGTGCGTTCGGGGGGTCCCGGGGTGTCCCGACTGGTCCGGGGGGTCCCGGCGGGTTCGGGGTCCGCTCAGCGCCGTCCCTCGCCCGCCGCAGCCCCGCGCTGGAGCCGCGGGCCGGGCAGCCCGGGCTGCTCAGCCATGCTCCGCTCCCGCCTCCCAAAAATCGATCCCAAACTCGCTCCAAACACTGCCCGGCACACGCCCAACTTTTTCCAGCCTCCCCCGGCGCGCCGAGCGCAGCAGCGGGAGGGGAGAGGACGGCAGGAGGAGGAGGAGGAGGAGGAGGAGGAGGAAGAAGAGAAGAAGGAGGCGGCTCCGCCCGCCCCGCCGGCATCACCTGCCCCGCACGGCCCCGCCCCGGCACCGAGGGGAGCGCTCGGGACGGAGCCGGGGATTGGTTTCGTTATTGGGCTGGGAAGGTTCGCGGTGTGAGCGTGCAGAAATGAGCCCGATGTGTCTGTAAATGAGGGGCTCACTGCCCGTCACAGGGTGGGGATCCGGGAAAGGTTGGGGATCAGAAAAATTTGGGGATCAGGGAAAGTTTGGGGATCAGGGAAAGTTTGGGGATCAGAAAAATTTGGGGATCAGAAAAATTTGGGGATCAGGGAAAGTCTGGGGATCAGGGAAGGATTGGGGATCAGGGACAGGTTGGGGATCAGGGAATGGTTGAGGATCAGGAAAAGCTTGGGCATCAGGGAAGGATTGGGGATCAGGGACAGGTTGGGGATCTGGGACAGGTTGGGGATCTGGGAATGGTTGAGGATCAGGGAAAGTTTGGATATTAGGAAAGGCTGGATTTTGGGAAAGGCTGGATTTTGGGAAAGGTTGGATTTTGGGAAAGGTTGGATTTTGGCAAAGGTTCTTTCCCCAGAGGGTTTGGGCACTGCCCAGGCTCCCAGGGAATGGGCACAGCCCCAAGAGCTCCAGGAGAGTTTGGCCAGGGATGGCCAGGGTGGGATTTTGGGGTGTCTGTGCAGGGCCAGGGGTTGGATCAGTGATCCCTGGGGGTCCCTTCCAGAATCACGGAATGGTTTTGGATTATTTGAGATTTCAATGCCCATCCCATCCCAGCCCCCTCCCGCAGCTCCGGTTGCTCCAAGGCTGCTGCGCTGTTCAAAGTAACTCATTAATAGCTAAGAAAACAACGAGGTTACTCGGAAAGCACTCCAGGCATCTGGGAAATGGTCACAGGGCTGCACTTGAGGACACTCGATGTTCTGCAGGCTGGCTCTGGCTGAGGCAAAGCTCCACTCCGGGGCTGGGAGCTGCCACTCCAAAGGGGCTGAGAGTTAAAGCACCTCGAGTTGGGGACAACCAGCCCGGCTGGGTCCTGCAGGTGTGTGGAGTGTGCTGGGAACACCTAAGGAGGTGTTAAATCACATTGTTCACCCAGCCCTAGGGCCCAGCTGGGGAGATCCGGGTTCTCCCCATCCCTCCGGGGCTGTTTGAGGGCCTGTGGAGCCCATGGAATCACGGAATAGTGGGGCTGGAGGACACTTCAATCTTCTCTCCTTGCAGCCCCCTGCCGTGGACAGGACACCTCTGTCTCTCATGGAAGAGAACAACGATCATTCAGAGCAATGTAACATCTGTAATTGCATTAAAGTGTGAACATCTGGAGACATCATCCCGTTTTTGATTATTTTACCCTGCACCAGGGCAGAGTTACTGCTCAGCTCTCGGGGTGCCCTGGGCTGATCACTTTGGATCTCTCTGACCCCAGCCTGGCGTGTTCAGGAGTTTTCCACACTCCCTCCTCTCTCTCCCGTGTTTCCAGTGAGTTCAGTTTTCCTTCCTCTTCTTCACCGCCGCCTGTCAGGGGCAGAGCAGCATAAATAAGAATTCATTACCAAGCAAATAAATCCAAATCAAAGCAGAGAGGTGCACACAGGACATTAATTCAATGTCACTCTTAGCCACAGTGCCCTGGTTGTTGTGCTGATCTGTCACCTGCCAAGGACAGAGCTGGCATTGTCACACTCTCAGGGTATTTCCCACCCAGGATGTGCAATCCTGTCACAGCCTGGCAGCCAAACCCTGCCCTGAAACGATGTTTGGGTCCTGTCCCGAGGTCAGAGCTGCTCCCTGGACTGCAGTTTCTGCAGAGCTCCAGCAGCACCTGGAGCCTCAGACAGAGCGTGGCAGGGAGGGACAGCAGGAAAAGGAGACAAGAATTGCAAGTTGGAGCTGCTGAACTGATTTGTTATTTATAAAACCCCAACTCAGCACAGCCAGCCACGCTCAGATGTTGTTCTGGCACAGAAAATCATTGTTCTCATGCAGGAAAAGCTGCTCTGGTTCAATGTTGGAGGTGTCAGGGTGTGTTTCCCTGGAGCTGGGGGCTCACACAGAGCTCAGACCCTGCCAGGTCCCCTCCTGGTGGGACGGGGACATCCCGGCTGTGTGAAGAGAAAATGTTTATTTCTTTGGCAAATCCTGTTGCTCCGAAAGATTCACCCAGGCTTTATAAACGGAAACTTGATATTGCAAAAAAAAAAAAAAAGATGAGAATCATCTCCATGAGAGGTGTCCTGCAGGGGACAGGAGGGGAACTGAGGAACCTGCTGGGATCTGAGATCATTAAAGAAGAAAAGTTTTCATGGAGATTTCGACTTTTTTTTCAAGTCTTCCTGAATTCTGGCTGCCAGTTCTGTGCTCAGGAGTGGAACTGACAGCCCAGACCTTGATTTTACTGTGAGATCTCTGATTTTCAGATAAGCTGCCTGAGCTGTGCCAGTGTTTTTCCAGCCCAGGTGGAAGAAATTCTTGGCAGCAAATGAAAACCAGAGCAAAGCATGAAAGGCAGGCAAGTAGCAACTGGAGTGCTTGGTTTTACCCGAGTGGGGGAACCTGGGGGATGTTCCATCAAATATCAGGATTTGCAAAAATGTCAGGAAGCAAGCTCAGCTCTCACTGGGAGGTGGAATTATTTCGGCAAGTCTTTTATTCCGTTTTTTTTATCACCAAATCCGCGTTTTTCCTTCTCGTTTTCTCTCTTGTTCCGTTGATGGGGAGCCAATTCTTCTCTGCCCCGAGCAGAAGGATAAAATCATGAAATTCTCATGGAGGCCACAGCAGAAATTAACCCTCAGCCACATCAAAGCCTCCATTCTGAGGTCACGGGACCGAGCAGAGCTGGGGAGGATTTGGGTGACTGAGGTTCACCCATGTTTTTAGTGCCCTGAAAAAGTCATTTTACTCCTGGGTCCTTTATAGCTGAGAGAGCAGCACATTTGCAAACGATGAGGCTGCAAAAGTAGAATGTTCCTCTAAATTTCTAAATGTCTCTAAACTTCTAAATGTGAGGTTCAAGTCATTAAAAAGAAGCCTCGTTCTTACAGACTTTTCTGAGATTTTTTTGGTTTTGTTTTTTGTGGCACAACTGAAGTTTAAGAATGGAATTCTGGTGCCCTCCTGTGTCCAAATCAAAACTACAGCGGGTTAAAATGTCACTAAAACGATGGGAAAATAAAGAAAAAAGTTGNTTTTTGGATCACTCTGCATTCCCTTCCATCCAACACCCACCCACCCCTCCAGGGCTGATGTAACAACTCACAAAGTGTTAAATCTCGTAAAAATTCCAGTGCTTCGAATGAAATACTCCTTGCTGAAATCCAAGGTGCCCTGTGTGTGAAAACACACACACAACCAGTTAAAATGGTTTTTTTTCCTCAGCAGGGCAAAACCAGCTGTTTCTTTCCTAAGAAAAGCAGTTTTATTTCTTTCTTTATTTCTTTTATTTTTACTTGGCCTGGGCATTGATTTCTGCAGCACAAAAAAAAAAAAAAAAAAAAAAAAAAAAAAAAGATGAGAATCATCTCCATGAGAGGTGTCCTGCAGGGGACAGGAGGGGAACTGAGGAACCTGCTGGGATCTGAGATCATTAAAGAAGAAAAGTTTTCATGGAGATTTCGACTTTTTTTTCAAGTCTTCCTGAATTCTGGCTGCCAGTTCTGTGCTCAGGAGTGGAACTGACAGCCCAGACCTTGATTTTACTGTGAGATCTCTGATTTTCAGATAAGCTGCCTGAGCTGTGCCAGTGTTTTTCCAGCCCAGGTGGAAGAAATTCTTGGCAGCAAATGAAAACCAGAGCAAAGCATGAAAGGCAGGCAAGTAGCAACTGGAGTGCTTGGTTTTACCCGAGTGGGGGAACCTGGGGGATGTTCCATCAAATATCAGGATTTGCAAAAATGTCAGGAAGCAAGCTCAGCTCTCACTGGGAGGTGGAATTATTTCGGCAAGTCTTTTATTCCGTTTTTTTTATCACCAAATCCGCGTTTTTCCTTCTCGTTTTCTCTCTTGTTCCGTTGATGGGGAGCCAATTCTTCTCTGCCCCGAGCAGAAGGATAAAATCATGAAATTCTCATGGAGGCCACAGCAGAAATTAACCCTCAGCCACATCAAAGCCTCCATTCTGAGGTCACGGGACCGAGCAGAGCTGGGGAGGATTTGGGTGACTGAGGTTCACCCATGTTTTTAGTGCCCTGAAAAAGTCATTTTACTCCTGGGTCCTTTATAGCTGAGAGAGCAGCACATTTGCAAACGATGAGGCTGCAAAAGTAGAATGTTCCTCTAAATTTCTAAATGTCTCTAAACTTCTAAATGTGAGGTTCAAGTCATTAAAAAGAAGCCTCGTTCTTACAGACTTTTCTGAGATTTTTTTGGTTTTGTTTTTTGTGGCACAACTGAAGTTTAAGAATGGAATTCTGGTGCCCTCCTGTGTCCAAATCAAAACTACAGCGGGTTAAAATGTCACTAAAACGATGGGAAAATAAAGAAAAAAGTTGGTTTTGGTTTTTTTTTTGGATAACGCTTAAGAACTCTCCTGGATCAGTCTGGATCCTCTCAAGCCAGGTTC